GGAGGAGGAGGAGAGGGAGGAGGTAAGCAAGTTTTGCTTCCGCCCTGGATCCTGCCCCCGGGAGGTCCCCGGCTGCCTCCAGAGGCCTCTGGAGGCCCGGCAAGGGTTGAAAACATGCGAAGTTCTCGGCGGCACAAGGCATCTGCTGGGCGGCAGCGGCTCCCCCCCGTCCTTCCCGGGTGCGTGCCGTGCTCGCGCCTTGCTGGTGAGCGCTGCAGCGCTTCGGTCTCCAGGGCCTCGCCCGGCGGCGGGCGGCGGGGAGGTGGCGGAGGAGTTCGGACGGAGACTCGAGGCTTCCCAGATGGGGTCGGAGTTGATGGGGTCGGAGGATCGCGCCGCATCGGCGATGCATCGCCGATGCGGCTCGATGTGGATCCCGATTTGCTTCACGTCGACGTCGCCGATGCATTGCCCACGTCGACGATGCACCGCCAGTGCATCGCCGATGCATCGCCTATGCATCGCCGACGTATTGGCGATGCGTTGCGATCCTCCTACCCCATCTACTCCGACCCTATCTAGGAGGCCTCTATCGTCGGGACGGTGTGCTGGAGTGGCGGCTGCATGGAAGGGCAGCAATCGGCGGCGAGCGAGGGGGGAACTTCGAGGTTCGAATTTCGAGGTTTGGAGGTGGCCTCTGGTTGCCGTTTTCGGGCCCCGGGACTCCCGAAATTCGATCGGGATGAAAAGCCGCGCTGGATGGACCCCAGGCGGGGTCCATGCACCCATTTCGACCGATATTCGGCGGCGCGCCCGCCCCTGCTCCTTTCTCCCCCTGCGCCCGCCGCCGAAGCACGAGGCTCTGAGGCCCTCTCCGCGGGCGGTCGCCCCGCGGGCGTCCCCCTGGCGGCCCGCCCAAGGAGGTCCCGGCGCTTGTGCCCGGGAGCGCCATGCGGTCCGCCGCGGTGCTGTGTGCTCCTGGGCCAGCCGGTGGCAGCCACGGGGCCGGTCTGTTGGCAGGAGGGGAAGGGCGAGCCCAGAGGGGAGGCGGAGGAGATGGATGGATGAGGGGGAGGGGGGAAGTGGGCGGAGACAAGAGAAGGGCGAGGACATGCGAGAGGTCAGCGGTGGGATGGGGAATCTGCCTCATCTCCTCTTCCTCCTCCTTTCCCATCGCTCCCGTTGTCTCGTCATGCTTCTCCTCTGGGCCACGTTGGTGGATCTACCATGGACTGCAACCTGGCATCTCCAGGCAATCCGCAGGAGGAGTGCGAGGTTGGCAGCACCGTGATGCTTCAGGTTGACGAGGTTCACTTCGGCCAGCCACGTGTCGGCTTGCGTGGAGAACCAGAGGCACCCGCTGTCTCTCACACTTCCTTCCTTCTTCCTGTGCGTCTTCCTCTCGTCCTCCTTCCCGTCACCCCTCCTCCTCTTTTGTCCTTATCCTCCCATCACGCCTCGTCCTCTCACACCGCTCCCACCCCTTAGAAAGAGCCGTGGATCCTGACTCCTGCATCTTCGCTCCGAACTCTCCTTCTATACCCCCGCTGTGGGTGGGTGGGTTTGGGGGGGACGCAGGGAGGGGAAGGGATGGGAGTGCAGCGGGGGTCTCCGTCATTTGTCGCTTGTTTGTTTGTTTGTGTGCTTGTTTGTTTTGTTTTGTTGTTCTTCTCTCTCTCTATATATCTCTCTCTCCCTCTCTCTTTTTGTTCCCTCTCTCTCTCTCTTCTCCTTCCCTCTCTCAACGATTATCTTGATCACTCTCCCGTTGTCTCTCCCTTCCTCACCTTCTGCTTCCTCTTGCGCCCCAGATGCAGTTACCTCCGCTCAAGGAAGGGTCTCCCCCATGCAGACCCCCTGCAGAATCGCACCAAGCTCTGGACATCCAGATCCCCAAGCATCTATTTCCTTCGGGGTGTTTATTCAGTCGGGAGTTGTTCTTCGCCACTCGCTGGAAGTCGGATCCGTCCGAGAGAGAAGGAGAGGGAGAGGGAGGGAGGGAGAGGGCGGCACACGAAACCATACCATCAGACAGTCTGATGGGCCCACGAGGCCTTCGCTCAGTCGTAATGGGGTCCGATCGTTTTCATGTGCTTGTTTAACAACAGGACCAGCGTTCGATTTTGGGATGTATACCAATCGGTGTCTCCCCTCTTCGGCTCTCGAGCCCGCGCGCACTCCTCATCCGTCAGGTCGCGGTGCCCGGAAATGTTCTGGGGTCTCTGGAGACCAGAAGCGTGTACAAAGTTCGCGGGTACGTCGTTATCGTCGTCGTCGTCGTCGTCGTCGTCGTCGTCGTCGTCGTCGTCGTCGTCGTCGTCGTCGTCGTCGTCGTCGTCCTTCCTGCACCTGGCAGCCTCATCGCATCCTCTTCGCTGTCACACTGGCCCCGGCGAGGAGAAGGAGGAGGAGGAGGAGGAGGAGGAGGAGGAGGAGGGTGCCAACGAACCTGTTGAAGTGGCTCCAAGCGGGCTTCTCGACGTCTTGGCCTCGTCCCTATCGCCGTATGCCTCCTCGCGGCCACCGTCCTTGTCGTCACCCCGCATGTTTGCTGCTGCTCCTCATCCTCCGTCTCTTCTCCCTCGTTCGTCCCCCAGTCCCCTGCCCTTCTCTATCCTCCCGTGTCCTCGATCGCCCGATGAAGGCGACCTGTTCGTGCGCCCACCTCGTTGCTTCTCTTCGCTCGCAAGACGCGTCTCCGCGTGGACCTGGGGGGCTGGGGGGTGGGTGGGGGGGCGCGAAGCATGGCGAGAAGAGGCTGCTCTGTCCTCCCCTACTTCTCTCCATGCCCTCCTCCTCCTCCTCCTCCGCCTCCTCCTCCTCCTCCTCCTCCTCCTCCAATTGCCCCTTTTGAGCTCGGAGAGGGGGGGGCTGCGAAGCATGGCGAGGGAAGGCAGCCCTGCCCTCCCCTACTTCTCCATATGCCCTCCTCGTCCTCCAATTGCCCCTTTTTGGGCTCGGGGGGGAGGGGGCTGCGAAGCATGGCGAGGGGAGGCAGCCCTGCCCTCCCCTACTTCTCCATATGCCCTCCTCGTCCTCCACTTGCCCTTTTTGGGGCTCGGGGGGGGGGGGCCTGCGAAGCATGGCGAGGGGAGGCAGCCCTGTCCTCCCCTACTTTTCCCTGCCCTCTACGTGGGCTCGAGCGTGGTCATCCGCGAGGAGGGCTGGATCCTCGGCGCGGCGGCCAAGAGGGGCGGGGAGGCGGGAGGCGAGCGCAGAGCCGCTGTGCTGTGCTGCCGCGGGGATGGGGCCCAGTGAGGAAGGAATGGGTTTCTTTCTGGCCACGGCGAGCCTCGGCCACGAACAGGGTCCCCGACCGAGGTCTCACGAGCGGCCTCTACGTGGGCTCGGGCCGGCTGGCTCCCGACCCGCAGGCGCCCGCCGCCCTGCCCCACGTGGCGAGAGGCGCGGCGGGGCCACACGGCCGCGGCGGCGCAGGGCTGCCTACGGAGCCGTGGCGGCCCTCGGCGCCCAGAGGAGGAGGAGGAGGAGGAGGAGGAGGAGGAGGAGGAGGAGGAGGAGGAGGAGGACGACGACGACGAGGACGAGGACGAGGAGGAGGAGGAGGAGGAGGAGGAGGACGAGGAGGAGGAGGAGGAGGAGGAGGAAGAGGAGGAGGAGGAGGCGGAGGCGGAGGCGGAGGCGGAGGCGGAGGCGGAGGAGGAGGCGGAGGCGGAGGAGGCGTAGGAGGCGGAGGAGGCGGAGGCGAAGGAGGAGGAGGGAGGAGGCGGAGGAGGAGGAGGCGGAGTGCCGCCCGGCAGCGCGCTGCGCGGGCTGCCCCAGAGACCTCCCCCGTCCCCCGCGAGCGGCCTCTCCGCGGACCTGGCCCGGGCTGCCGCTGGCCCACAGGCGTTGACGGGGTGGCTCGGCGCGCCACCTCGGCCCAGGTCACGGGCGAGGAAACGCCGAGCGTGCGCGCCCCAGCCCCTTTCCCCCGACCCCTGCGATGTCGTTGTCCGCGGCCTCACATTGGGGAACTCGGGGCGATCTCCGGGAAGACGGGGGCGGCCCGAGCCCGAGGTTTTGCTCTGCACGAACGAGATGGGCACGGAAAGAATGGGTACGATGCCCAACAGCGGTTTCTGCTCATTTTGAACAGGATTCGCTGTCGACGCCGCCGCGGCCTGTGTCCATTCGAGACAGAAGGCCGCCTGCCCAACAGCGGCCGCTGTGGGTTTGCGACAAAATTCGTTGTTCGGCAGTGTACCCATTCTTTCCGTGCCCATTTCGGGCGTCCAAATTTGCGCACGGGTCGGGCGGCCCGAGCCCGGGGTTTTTCAGAGCGTGAATTACCTACCCCGCTTTCGCTTCCAGGCAAGACTAAGTCATATCACGCGCCTCCTCGTCAAGCGGCCTGACCAGTACAGGCTGTAGTTTGGCACCGCTCGGTAGCTCTTAGAAGCGAGGGTGGTCAAAAGCGAGATAGGTTTGTTTGCCCCCTAGTTTTGCGCACGGGCCGGGAAGACAGTTCTCGGGTTGGGAGATGCCGGGGGCGGAAAAGAGGGGGGTGGTGACTAGGGGGGTGGATATCATGGCGGGGGCCATGGTATTTCCGCAGATTTCATAGCGCCGCTTCTTACTCCATTACGTCCCTGTTCCCCCCGCTGGGCCGCGCACATGCCGCCGGTCATGATTTGCACCCCCCCCTCTTGGACCCCCCCCCACTTGGCCGCTCCCGAAGATGGGGTCCCAGACATGATCGCGTCGTTAACAAAAAATCAGAGCGGGAAGTTTTCGGCCGCTTTCGGCCCTGGGGGCTCTCGCGGGGCCTCGGGGCCGTCGAAAAACGACTCGGAAGGAGAAGCCGGTCCCGGGGAGAGGGTCGGGACTTGCAGGGGCCCCGTATTGAACTACCCTGCGACGTACCCGACCCTTTCTATACATGTGGCGATTCTACTCGGACCACTCAATGCTGACTGGCATTCTGAAGGACCCGCAGTGCGCAAGAAGAGCACCCAACAGTGATTTCAGAAGAGCGCAGCAAGAAGAGGAACGGCAACTATACAACATGGAATCACAGGGGTGTTGAAAGAAACGCGTGTGACGTACCTCCGAATGATCCACGTGGGACGTACCTCCGCTGGGCCTCCCAGGAGCCCACAAAAGTGGCGACAATTGCGCAGATCGCAAGCCGCCCAGGGGGCGGCGAGCTACCGAGGTGATCCGCGTGGGACCCACCTCCGCTGGGCCTCCCAGGAGCCCACGAAAATGGCGACGGTTGCGCAGATCGCAAGCCCCCAGAGCACCGCGAGGTACCGAGGTGATCCGCGTGGGACGTACCTCCGCTGGGCCTCCCAGGAGCCCACGAAAGTGGAGACGGTTGCGCAGATCGCAAGCCCCCAGGGCACCGCGAGGTCCCGAGGTGATCCGCGTGGGACCCACCTCCGCTGGGCCTCCCAGGAGCCCACGAAAGTGGCGACAGTTGCGCAGATCGCAGCCCCCAGGGCACCGCGAGGTCCCGAGGTGATCCGCGTGGGACCCACCTCCGCTGGGCCTTCCAGGAGCCCACGAAAGTGTCGACGGTTGCGCAGATTGCAAGCCCCCAGAGCACCGCGAGGTACCGAGGTGATCCGCGTGGGACGTACCTCCGCTGGGCCTCCCAGGAGCCCACGAAAGTGGAGACGGTTGCGCAGATCGCAAGCCCCCCATGGGGCGGCGAGGTACCGAGACGACCGCGTGGGACCCACCTCCGCTGGGCCCCCCAGGAGCCCACGAAAGTGGCGACAATTGCGCAGATCGCAAGCCGCCCAGGGGGCGGCGAGCTACCGAGGTGATCCGCGTGGGACCTACCTCCGCTGGGCCTCCCAGGAGCCCACGAAAGTGGCGACGGTTGCGCAGATCGCAAGCCCGATGGCGCGAGAGAAGAGGAGAGGGGAACACAGGAAACGGGAGAGGAGGAGGGGAGGAGAGGGGAGGAGGAGGAAGAATGGGCGACCACACTGCTCTATTCCAAACGAGTGCCCAACCACAGGAGGGCTGGGACAACAATCAGGACGTCGCATGTCTGGGGTTGGGTTAGGAGACATGGGGATCTCCTTACCAGTCGGCGGCAGAAAGTCTCGCTCACTGCAGCCGGACGCAGTTGCTCATGCCCTTGGTCCTCCCAGCCCCTTCCCCCCAACACTATAGTTGTGCTCCACAGCCTTTGCGGGCCGCATTCTCAATTTTGGGTGTACCGGCCTATCCTCGATTTTAGGCTCGTCCTCGTCGAAGTTTGCTCTGGCTTGTGCGCTTGGCTCTCAGTGTAAATGTTTGCCCCCAGCGCTGCCTGTCCATACTCGGCACAGGACCTCGGGGTCCACCTCACGGGCACGGTGAGGGAGCCGTAGGATCGGTTAGAGTGTGAGCTCAGCTTCGGCCGCCTTGGTGCCTTCCTTCTCGAAACAAAAATTATCCCGGCAAAGCAACCTAACAGCGATGTGTAGGAGCATATCTGGAAGCATTCCCCTTAAGATTCAGATGAGAATCCAGTTGTAGAATTATGCTGTTCTCGCAGTCGTAGTCGCATTCGCGATGACAGTCGCAGTGGCAACGGCAGTCGCAGTCACAGCCTCAGCCTCAGCCTGCCTCAGCCTCAGCCTCAGCCTGCCTCAGCCTCAGCCTGCCTCAGCCTCAGCCTCAGCCTGCTTCAGCCTCAGCCTCAGTCTGCCTTCAGCCTCGGCCTCAGCCTCAGCCTGCCTCAGCCTCAGCCTGCATCAGCCTCAGCCTCAGCCTCAGCCTGCCTCAGCATCAGCCTGCCTCAGCCTCAGCCTCAGCCTGCCTCAGCCTCAGCCTCAGTCTGCTTCAGCCTCAGCCTCAGTCTGCCTTCAGCTTCGGCCTCAGCCTCAGCCTGCCTCAGCCTCAGCCTGCCTCGGCCGCAGCATCAGCCTGCCTCAGCATTCAAAATGTGGCCCAGGAATGGAGTTCTGGGAACTAGAAGAACACGAAGTGGCCTACAGTTGGCTCCGTGCATTCAAAATCATGCCCAGGAATGGAGGTCTGGGAACTTGAAGAGCACGAAGTGGCCTACAGTTGGCTCCGGGCATCCAAAATGTGGCTCGGGAATGGAGTTCTGGGCAGTCGAAGAGAGACGAAGTGGCCTACAGCTGGCTCCGGGCATCCAAAATGTGGCCCGGGAATGGAGTTCTGGGAAGTCGAAGAGCACGAAGTGGCCTACAGCTGGCTCCGGGCATCCAAAATGTACGCCGGGAATGGAGTTCTGGGAACTCGAAGACCACGAAATGGCCTACAGTTGGCTCCGGGCATCCAAAATGCACGCCGGGAATGGAGTTCTAGCAGCGCCAAGAGCGATTTTGCGAGGATGTCCAAGGCGATTTGGGCTTCGGCGGCAGCCGCCCCGGGTCCCGCCCCGACCCCTCTGAGGAGTCATGATGCTTATCTTTTGACACCACTAGAAACCTATCAGTCTTCGCTGTTAGGTTAAAAATTATAATTGTGCTCCACAGCGGGTGCGCTGCAGCAGGCAGGGGCAGCCCGCCAGCGCGCGGAGCCGCGGCCGACGGCGCGGGCCAGGGCCTCCGGCGCGGGCTCGAGGCGCGAGCGGCCTTTGGGCGGCTGCGGCGGCCGTGGCCTCTCGGGGGCCTTTTGTGGGGGTGTCCTGGCAGCTTCGGAGGCCGTCCAGAGGCCCTCGTGGGCCTCAAGGAGCGATCTTTCGGCGACCTAACCTCCTCCTCCTCCTCCTCCTCCTCCTCCTCCTCCTCCTCCTCCTCCTCCTCCTCCTCCTCCTCCTCCTCCTCCTCCTCCTCCTCCTCCTACTCCTACTCCTACTCCTACTCCTACTCCTACTCCTCCTCCTCCTCCTCCTCCCCCGCCCAGGAAGGCACCAAGGCGCTCCCCAGACAATCCCGGAGGCCCTCGTGGCCCTCCGGGATTGTCTGGGGATCGCCTTGGTGCCCTCCTGGCAGAGCTCTCGTGCCCGCGCCCGCCTGCACGCCGCGCCTCGCCGCCCCCTCCGCTCTCGCGAGGGCGGCCCGCGCGCGGCGGCGGCAGGCGGCGGTGCAGGACGCCGACGGTGTGCGACGCGATGCCTCGGCCTGCTCTCGTGCCACGCCGTGCCGAACATTTTCTGGCGGCCTGGCACGGCCCGATGCAGGGTTCACGGTCCTGTTCGGCTCGAGGCGACCCCCCAGATGGCGGCGGCGATGTGGAGCCGACCCGGTCCAGCTCTGGCCGATCCGGTTTGGGCCTGCAGGGGTGGAGCACGACCCTCAATCCCACGCGGTCCGATCCGTTTCGGAGCCCGTCCGATTTCGCGACTCGATGCCGATTCGATGTTCCCGATGTCTTGTGCCTGTGTTTGCGATGCCTCTGGCGCCAGCTGGAGCATGTCGTACGGCGTTCGCGGCGCGAGGAAGACGTGGCCGTCAAGGGGTGGGGCGGGGCACGGCACCCTTTTGAAGCGGCAGACGTCTGAAGGTGCACATGCAGCACGATGCCAGCTGGCAGAATGCGCAGCGACGGCACGGGCGGCAGGCTAAACTCAGAGGTGGGGACCGTCGATGAGGTCTGTTCACGCCGTCTCTGACCCTCATCCTCAACGTTGTCCTCATCTTCCTCCTCCTCCTCCTCCTTCTCCTCCTCTCCCTCCCCCTTCCTGACCCCACCTGCACAGATGATGGGGAAGATGATCAAGTGGCCGGCCGATAAGTTCGACGAGTATACACTAGAGTGTGCGCTGATCCTCTTCGGGATGACGGGAAGGGCGAGGGCGAGAGGAGGAGGAGGAGGAGGAGGAGGAGGAGGAGGAGGAGGAGGGGAGGAGGAGGAGGAGGAAGAATAGGAAGACGGGAAATGTTGGATGAGGGGTAGGACGGGTTATCGGATGAGAAGGACAACTATGGCGAGATAAGGTGCGAGGGCGAGGGGGACCCCCCCGGGAGGAAGGGGAGAGGGAGGACGACCCGAGCAAAAACCTGTGCTGGAGCTGCTGCTCGCCATCCAGGGGGTGCCTCTGGGTCACGGGCCGAAGCAACTGCTCAGGGTGGAGAAACGGTCCCTCGGAAGTGGTCTAGAGCTCCAGGGGGCCGACGAAAGGTGGCGGGGGAAATCAGGCGCTGCGGCGCCACATCCATCACGGTTGAGGCCCTTATGGCCCGCCGATGATGCATCCGCAACCTCAGGCCTCTGCTAGGCCTCCCCGCAGCTACGATACCAGTCAATGCCATTGGTGCCACTGCGCGAGTGCCACAGCACCTGTGTCCAGAACAGCCCTCGGTCACGCTAGGCTTTCGTGCGAATAGCGCGGCAGAATTCAATCTGGCCGCGGCACGTTGGGCCGCAGGGTCTTCCCCCCACTTCGCTGGAATGTGCCCCCTATGGCCACGAGCCTTCACACCGTGCTTGCTGACACACCCGCGTCCGAACATGACATCACGCCGCCCCAGAGCAGTTCGCGACACCGAGGCCATGCTCGCTCGAAGAGTCGGTGCCAAGAGCGGCACCGGAGTATCCGCAAGCGCCGATCCCAAACATCCGGATTGCGCAACTTGCGGTGTGTGATGGCGGTTGAGGGGGGGAGGCCATGTTGCTTGCAGCGGCTCGGACTTCACGACAAACGCGGCGCTGCAGAAGCTGCCCTTGCCCACGGCAAAGGATGTATGACCGCCAGAGATGTATGTCTCGCCAGCGAAGAGAGTACGACGGCAAGGTGCCTGCCAAATGGGCAACACGCACGTCCTAAGACCACCCCGCATCCACGCGGCAGCCACGACGGCTGATCAATGACATCCTAGAGGCGGACATGGTTGAGACAAGGACGGTTTCCATGCAATTTCCCGAAGGGTATCCCCAGCACCATGAGCTCCGATGTTCGGCACGCGGTTGTAGGTGAGTGCCTCCTGGCCTGCAAAGCCGCGGAGGCCTTCAAGCAGAACGGTGTGGACAGATGGCTCGTGGAAGAGCCGTTGTCTCTAGCCGACAGGGCTCGGTGGTCGTCGAGGCCTAGCTCGAGGCGAACTTCGCCGCTGTGCACAGGCTTCGGATGCAGACGGGATCTCTTCGGCCCGCAAGCAGCGCGGCCCATGGGGGCCGCAGATAGTGGGTCTGGGCGCTCCTCTGCCCTTGCTACATCGGCTGACGAGGGAACAAAAACACACACAGACACAATTAGCCGTCGATCCCCCAGAAAACATGGGAAAATCTGGGAAGAGGTGGGGAAGACAAAAACCCAGAACATATGGGAAAATATAGGAAATCCGTTTATTTTCGGGGGAGCGTAAGACCCGGGTTTGCCAGGACTCGGGTTCGCCATCGTTTTTTGACGACCGCGACTCGGATTTTGACGAGTAGGAGTTTCGTGGGATGTCTGCAGCGGGAGGCCTCGTCAAATGCAGGCTCGGCCTCGTCATTTTTTTGACGACCCCGTCGGGGATTTCCGAGTCCCCTGTACCCGGGTCCTACGCCCCCCTGATATTTGTGTGTATGTATTTGTGTGTCCCAGGGCCCCTTTCACGCAGCCGAGGCCCTGAAGCAGGGGCCACTTCGGGCTCAGGGATGGGGCTCCGGTCTCCGGGGCGCTTCCCAGCTGTAGGTCGGGGGGGCCTGCTCGTGGCCTGGGCTGGCCGTGGCCAGAGGATCCCATTGGTGTTTTACGCCGCGCCTCCTCCTCCTCCTCCTCCTCCTCCTCCTCCTCCTCCTCCTCCTCCTCCTCTCCCCCTTCTCCTCCTCCTCCTCCTCGTCCTCCTCCTCTCCTTCCTTCCCTCCATCTCCTCCTCCTCCTCCTCCTCCTCCTCCTCCTCCTCCTCCTCCTCCTCCTCCTCCTCCTTCGTTCTCCCCCTCCTGCCCTCGCCCCTTCCTCCCCCACCGTGACCGTTCGAGACCACCACCAACTACAACAGCCCCGCTGTCCCACTTCCGCCCAGGTGAGGCTTACCAAGCAGCAGCAGCATACCGAATGCAAGAGCTGGCTGAAAGAGCTGCAAGAGCTGGCCCTACACTGCCAACACCGGCGTCGATACCGCCTAGGCCCAGTACCGACGAATGCTTCGGGGGCGCGAATGCGCAACAGAGCGTGGCATCGCGGGCACCAAGTGATTGCTTTCCGTAGAGGGCGAGGACACCACTGGCACGCATGGGAGCACATTCGCCTTGGGAAGCGTCCTGTATGGCAGAAGCAAGTCGCCGAGACAGACTCATTCAAGACAGCACCAACTCCCTGGACCTTAGGATCCGGTGGCGGGCACAGCACGGCAACCTGCACGGCACGCCGAGGGAAAAAATAAAAGCCACGACCCCCCCGAGGGAAAAAAGCCACGAGGGCAAAAAAATGCTTGCCCCCACCCTCGCTGTCCGCTGGCAGGCTTGTTTTTCTCCTCTCCCCATTCCTTCCTCTTGGAGGCTTCTTTCTTAGGGGCCTCTCGGGGGCCCACTGTGAGCTCGTCGGTTTTTTTGTTCTTAGGAGCCGTCCAGAGCGCGATGATTCGATCGAGCCCTCCCGAGGCGGCTCGGCCGAAGCATCTTGGGGACGTCCGAGCGGGTCTTGGGGCCGTCCCGGATTCCTCTGGGACAGTCTTGATGGATTCGCGCCTCATCTTGGGACTTCGGCGTTTTCGTGGGGCCGTTTTGGGCCGCCTCCGGAGCTCTTGGAGCACTCTCGGGGCTGAGCGAGCTTCTCCTCCTCTCGGCGGCCGCACGCAGGAGTGACCTCACGCCAGAGGGACCCGATGGCCCGGCGCGATGTGGTCGCAGCGGCGCGTGCGTTCGGGTTCCGTCTGCCCGCGGCCCCCGGACGCCCGCCCGCACCGGAAGTCACTCTCGCCCAGGGCCCCTCCTGCGTGTCGCCGATGTTGCTGGGCCTGTTTTCCACCACCACCACCACAAGTTGGTTGGGGGAAGGGGGAGGACGACGAGGAGGAGGAGGAGGAGGAGGAGGAGGAGGAGGAGGAGGAGCAGGAGGAGGAGGAGGTGGAGGAGGTGGAGGAGGACCCTCCCCCTCCAACTTGTGGTTGTGGTGGTGGAAAGCAGGCCCATCAGATGTCCTGGCTGGGTCCTCTGCTGATTCGGCCCAGGCCGCCCCGGGGCTCCAGCAGGAGGCCCCTCCCTGCCGCCCCCCGCGGCAGGGACAGGGCCCCCTGGGAGGCAGCTGCGCAGGGCACCTCGCCTCGGGCCGCGGAAGCCTCCGGCAGCCCCCCCCCCCCCGCGCGCGGCCGCGGGCGGCGCCATGGGCTGACGAGCGGCGTGGCGACCCAGGGATCCAACGCGTTGATGAACTCCAGACGGCGGTTTTGCTCCGCTTTCGGCCTCCGGGCCCTCGCCGGGCCCCGGGACCGGCAAAGAACGGCTCCGGAGGAAGAGCCGGTCCTGGGGAAGGGGTCGAGACTTCGTGGGACCGCGCACAGATCTGAAGCCCTGGGGAGGGAACGTGCAGGCGCCCGATGCCGATGCCGCTGTGTTCGAAGCAGGAAATACTACACACAAGCATAAGCTTTCGGCGCTCCGCGCGGATTTCTCGGATCCGCGCTGGGGCCCCCTGGCGGCGCCTTCGGCGCCGCCCCTGGCGCGCTCCGCGCGCCAGGGAGGGGGGCCCAGCGCAAATCCAAGAAATTTCGCGTGTTTCTTCCTGTGCCCTCCTCTCCCGTCCCTGCGTCCTCACGGTACACCGCCAGAGGACGTCCACGTCCACCGCTTCGGGATCGTGCCCTTGGATCTCGAGGAGCGGTGGATATGGATATCTGCCCGCCCGCGGCGTTGGCGGGCAGATACCCATGCATCCGCCGCTCCCCGAGTCCTCGGAGCACGACGCGGCAGCAGTGGATATGGTCATGGTCTCGGGCGGCGCACGCGTTGCGGACGGCCAGAGGGCGCCACGCGAAAGCGAGTCGCTGTCGGGCATCTGTCCGCCTACCCCGAGAGGGCGTTGCTTTCTTTTGGCGGTAGCGTCGCAGGCCCCGAGGCCTTATACCAACACCAATATCGGCGGCGTGCCTCCACCGAGGGAAGAAGATCCTGGTCTCGGTGATGGTGGTAATATTCTGGTTTACAAGGTAGCCGAAACACTACCACCGATACCGAAACCTAGGATCATCCTGGCCCTGTGTTGGTGTTGGTGCCAATGTCCAGGCCTCCAATAACGGGCGTTATGGTCGGGTGTTGCTAGAAGTACTTCTGGCCCAAGGTACCCCCAGGAGTCTCGGAGTGGCCCAGACGGCATCCAGGGGACCCCTCACGAGGCCCAGAGGGCCCAAGAGGCTCCAAAATGAAGCGAAAAGCCAGGGGCACCTTGGGCCAGGGGCACCTCTAGCAACACCAGATATGGCGACGGGGGCGGGGGGCCGGTAGCGTCACGTTTTGCGATGGCGCCGCCCGGGAATGCTTCGGAAGAGAACTGCACGGCCGACTCGGAGCTCACAGCACGGATCGTGACACGCTACCGGGAGACTGGAGCGGCCGGAGCGGCTGGGGCTGGCCACGGCCACCATCGCGAAACGTAGAAAATGCCCTCCAGGTGGGCGGCGCAGGAACACGGAGTCCTCTTCGCCGACTCTCGCGCGTGCGTTCACCGCACAAGGTCGCGCGTGAGCGTTGGCTTTTTTCGAACGCAGCGTGCCGCGCGGGGTGGGCCGCCTTCCCAAGGGTACCCTCCCAGAGATCAAGCGTATTGGCAAAAATCAAGGCGGAGGTGTTTCTCATGTGTCGGCCTCTAGGGGCCCTCGCCAGTCCCTGGGACCGTCAA